ATCGTATTGATTCTACGCGAAAAATATCGCAACCATCAAAAAAAGCATTTTGCTTACCCGACGGTTTTGCAATACTGGGATATTTCAAACAAACTTGACAAAACATTTTATCTTGCCTGTGTTGTAGCCATGGCCACTGATCGATCCATTTAGGCAAAAACTTTCGTTGGCGCTTTGAATCATCATAGCGTTGGTTTTTTGACCTCTTGTCGACCTTATCTACAGACTGATCTAAGCGTCTTTTGTTGTTTGCCGACGATGGTGACTCGGGTGCCGATGGTATGGTAAAATACGTCAGGTACTCGATACTCATGGCTATGATTCGGAGATCCAGGCTATAGACAGTTCAAATGAACCAATTTTGAAACCAAAATTTAAAACATAAAAGTCGTAATTTGATTGGATTTCACTTATTTATTACATAAAAAGTTGCAAGATAAACCACTTCATTGGACGAAAGAAAAAATAAATGACAGCTATCACACGCGTGACTTTGGCGTAAAATAGAAACATGTTGATAATTTGTATCAGTCTATCACGGGCCGAGCTTAGGGAAATAAACATCAGCTTCAAAATGGCTTGCCCGTCGGACGAGGACGTTGTTGATTTCACTTGCCCCGACATAAAATCTAGTTGTCACGGGCGTCGGGCAGCGAGAATTTTCGAGGCCTGAATCATGAGCGAAATGGGTCACCAATAAACAGGAAGTACCGTAAAAACTCAATTAATTCGCGGTAGTAAAAATAATTATTTTTTCAAGTGCACGAATTAATAGCATAAAAACGGAAATTATTGGTTTTTGGTGAGCGAATTAAAAGAGTACTTTTAGATCGATTCAAAAAAGAGCTATTTTCATAAATTTATTAGTGATTTGTTTTGTTTTCCAATGAACACGATTACAGGACGTTTTTTTAGTGCCTCTGAGACTCGTGGCTAGCGACATTCATGGCGTATAGTCGGGCATAGAACACGCACTGCGTCAAGGACCATGCACCATGTTACACTTGAAATGAAACAGTGAAATGGCAAAGCTCACTCTGTACACAAACAAACAATGAACACGTGGCTACAAAGTAGCCGTCTGGCTGCACTGCCTTTTTTTATTTTTCTAGGCATCGCCTGGGCGATGTTATGGCAGATATTACGAAGCCCAACTTGTCTGGAAAAAAAACCCTACGTTGATAAAAATGATCTCAGAAAATGTTTAGAAAAAATACTGTTTCGCGTTGACCAAATATAATCATGCAAAGTATAAATTCAAAGTGTTTCAATACATTGATGAGAGGTCGCATTTTACGTGAACAAGAACATGCACTAAGAAGGAAAAGCCAAAGTCAAAACGGGGTGCATCATGGACATGACACAACACACGCTGCGACAACTGAGTGATCAGCGACATCATTTTGGGATGCAATTGAACTTCAAGTACTTCTTTGCGAAACTTGCTGCGCGGCGATGCTGACATCAAGTGTGTGTTGACCGAAGTTTGACCTCAAGTCATGCACTGAACTGGCATGTTACCTTAGCATCCTTTTTCTTTCGTGCCCCGCGCGTCAATCTAGTAAAATTGTTATTCTATCCGAAGGTACTGTAATTACGCAACTTGAATATATCAACGTCGTTTATTTAGTGCACTGCTTTTCTAATTACGCAAATTTGTTTACAATATTGTACCGGCTCTGAAAATTTCAACTTTGTAATGTATTGCTTTCATGATAATTAG